GTCCTGACCTGTGCCAAGGGACACTGCAGCCATGCCCAGACTAGACAACAGGCTTCACTCTGGCCTTCGCATCTGCCAGTGGTACCCATAACCCAGCAGGGCATTCTCTTAGCTCCCCAATGAGGCCTGATCCCAGCCACATCTTGTATGTGCCAGTGGTTGTTCTGACCCAACTTGGCATAGCCCCTCCCCTGTCTTGATCTTTGTCTTTGGATGCTGCAGCCTGACCTGGCCCAGCCAGCTGCTACTCCCAACTCTTGCTAGAGGGTACTGTACCCTGGCCCTGCTCAATCTGCTCTCATCCCTGGCTCATGCAAACCAGTAGGTGTAGCAGCCTAGCCTGGCATGACCTGTACTCCATCCTGGTTTCTGCACTTGCCAGTGGGCTATGGTTTGCTTGGTCCCTTTCAAAAGCAACTCATATTTGCCAAGGGATAGGGCTACCTTGCCCAGCCTGCCCAACACCCAGGCCTGGACCACGTGCTCATCAGTGGGAGCTGTGACCCACTAGGGGAGTTTCCCAGGTTCCCTTGCTTGGGGCACTCCCTGACTCAGATCTCACGCATGCCAGCGCGTGCTTGGCCATTACCTGACATGTTCTTCCCCCTTCACCCTGGCCTTTCTATGAGTTGGTGCAGCCTGGCATGTCCTGCCCCACATTCTGTATTAGGGTGTTCGTGTAGGTGCTGCATCTTGGACCTACCCCATTTGTTCCAAGCCCCAGCTGTGAGAGCATCAGTGAGTTCCATGGTCATGCCTAGCTCAGCTCATCACCATCCCAACTCTCAAGCTAACCAGCAGGACTTGTAGTTTTAGTAGTTCCATTGGGTTAGGCCCACATATCCGCCACAGAATTCAACCCCATATCTGGTTCTCTTGAGTGGTGATTGGTGTCATGGCCCAGTCTAATGTGACCCATCCCCTGATCCAACACTCACTGTCAGGTACTGGGATCCAGCCCTACCAAAGAGGCCCCTAGCCATAGCTTTGTGTGCATGGGCGTGTGTTAGTCAGCCATGTTCCATGCTAACAAGCCCAGCCCAGGACTTCCATGTGGACTTGTACAATCTGACCCATAAAGATCTTCAGATCTTAGGATCCCCGTCAGGCAGTTTGGGCTAGCACGGTTACTCCCAGCCACAGGCATGTGTCTTGGAGATCCAGTTATCCATGCTTCTGCTCAGACTTATCTTGACTTCACCCACCAAGATGGCTGTGGTGGGCAGAGCCATGGTCCTGAGCATGCCCAGAGCTGTCTAAGATCTGTCCCCAGCATGGTTGCTGTGGATGGAGGAAATTCTCAGACCTCAGGCTTGGACAAACCTTGACCCTGCCCCAGCCTAGCAGCAGTGGCTGGGAGCTAGGATCCCCAGCAGGCAACCTGGCCAGCACAGATACCCCCAGCCACAGCCAAGTGTCTGGGGGATCCAGTTGCCCATGCCGCTGCTCAGACTTACCTGGACTTCTGTTACCGTTCTTCTTTTTTACTTCCCAGTGTGAAATGTCATCTTCTCAAGCTATATTTCTTCTGGTGAGCAATGTTTCTTTTCAGTTCCCACTAATAAATTTTTGTCTTTTAATGTCATCCTTTGTTTTTGTTTTTGGTGTTTGTGATTCATTGAAGGTGATTCCCTTGCATTGTGAAGATGATTTATTCTTTCTTTTATACTTTATTGTTAATGTTATTTGCAGTTGAGAAGGATGTATGCGTATGTGGGCCTCTGATTAAGGTGTGGAGGGTCAAGTTATGGAGGAAGGAGTGTGGGACAGATGTTTCAATTTTTTTCTTTATCTGGTGTTATCTGGCAGGGGGAGAGGAAGGGACAACTTTTTGTTGCCAAACTGCATTAACACCTGGATATGGGGCATGGTCATTCGATGTCATTTTAGAGATTGATGTGGAGAAGAATGTTTCAAGGGGGTTACTTGAATGGTTTTGACAGTTCCGAGACATTTCTATAATGTCTCTTGGTCGACAAGGTCCACCTTAGTGCATCCGCAGACCCAGACACTTGCTGCGAAGCTTGCCCAGGAGAGTTGTCCAACCTCTTCTGCCTTCCATCCTCTGATGTGGCACTTGACATACTCTGTTGTCTTAGAAGGCTTAGAAGAGCTTTCTCTCATGTCTCCCATGTGTGTCTGGACATAACTGTCCACTGCACAGGCATCAGCAACTGAGGAGACCCAGTCCTGATATATGCATTCCAAGTTCGGACTACATATCCTGTGATTTTTTTTTTTCAGTACAGCGATATAGTTTGGTTACCCAAGAAACATGGCCTGGGGTAAGCCCAGACCTGACTATTGCATGCTCCAGCTAGTGTGAGTCTTGTTCAGTCCATCACATACATTAGTCTACATACTTACCAGTGAATGCAGTACAGTGAGTTCTACCCCCAGCTCCATTCCCACACAAACTGGTAGGTACTGTAGCCTAGCCAAACTCAGCCCACCACAAACCCAGCAAGCCCTTGTGTACACTAGTGGGGCCTGCAGCACAAATGCATGCTGCTGGGTGCTATTGCCTTGTCCAGCTTGGACCATCCCCAGCCCTTGCTCTCATGATCATCAGTGGGAACTGCAGGTCAGCAGAAGAATGCCCACAGTTCCCCTATTAGGCCAACTCCCAATCCTGGATTTTGTGCTTGCTAGGGGATACTGAGGTATAGCCTGACATGATTTGCACCTGGCCCCAGCACTAGCAAGCAGATGCTATGGCAAAGCGTGGCTGACCCACAATTATTATGGCTCTTGCGTGAGCCAGTTATGTGGTAGCTTAAGCTAGCCTGACCCTCCCCGAAACCAGTGTATGTGCAGGTGAATGGGTGTTATAGACCTACCTAGCTGGATCTACAGCTGATCTCAGCTCTTATGTCAGCAGTGAGAACAGTAGCCCAGCAGGGAGTTCTTGATGTTCCCCTACCATGCTCACCCCCAGTCCCATGTTTTTTGCATGTGTTGGTGGATGCTGCAGCCCAATCTGGCATGGCCTACTTCACCTTGACATTTGCCAGCAGGTGCTGTAGCCTGGCCTACCACAATTCCCAGTTTATGCTGGCGTTACTGCAGCCTAATCTAGCCCCACCAATCCCCAGTCCCAGTCTTCATGTGAACTGGTGGGAACAAGCCCATTCTGGTTCTTACATCTGTCAGCAGGTGCTATGAACTGGCCCATTCCAGCCCACCTCCAGACCCTGCCCATATATATGCCCGTTTATACTGCACCCTGATCTTTCCTGGGCTGCCCAGCCTTGGGTCTGACACTCCCCAGCTGGAGCTGTGGCCTAAAAGGCGAGTTCCCCAAGTTCCCATGTCAAATCAGCTCCAAGTCCTGGATCTCATGCACACTGGTGGGTGCCCAGGGACAAGGCCTGCCACCTGTCCCAGCATTCACTGGCAGGCATTGCATCCCTGTGCAGCTGGCTCATTCTCATTCTGACTCACCAATGAATGCTGCAGTCAAGCCCTTCCTGGACCACCCCCCAAACCTGGCTCTCATGCAGACAGACTAATAGGTGTCAAAACCTAGCCCATCCCATCCTGTAGCCACTCTGGCTTTTGGCTTTTGCAAGCACTGGCAGGTACGAGGCCTAGCCAGTATACCCTGCTGCTGGACCCAACCCACACTCATGTTGAGGGGTTCTACAGCTATGTTCACTCCAGTCTGCTCCCAGTCCTGGCTCTTGCACTCACTCACCAGTGGAAGCTGCAACCTAACAAGGGAGTCTTTTTAGTTCTTACACCAGTCCCACTCCCAGCCCAGATCTTGATGGCTGTCTTGGCACTGGTCAACAGATGCTGCAGTGTTGCCAGGCCCAGCCAAGCCCACCTCTAATCCCAACTCTTGCAGGTAGATGTGGCCTAACCCTGCCAACCTGCCTTCATCTATGCTCTCACATAAACCCAGCAATGAATTAGTCTTGCCTGGTGCAGCCCACACTTTTTCCTGGCTCCCACATGTACCAATGGATGCTAAAACTTGGGCTGCCTCAGCCCAGCATACTCTGTGAGTCAGCACACACGTATGCTGACAAGAGGTACTTAGCTTGCCTCACCCCCCAGCCCTGGCTCTTGTGCTCACCAGTAGGAGCTTCAGCCTAGTAGGGGACTTCCCCAAATTGCTCGACTGGAAGCACAAGATCTCACACTTACAGGCATGTTCTAGACCCCTGCCTGTTATAGTACACACCCAGTCTTGGCCTTTGCATATGCTGTTGGGTACTATGGCTCTGTCTGCCCCTGGACCCAATTTTCCCATGTATCTGTGGGTAGTGTAACCTGGGTCAGCCTAGTCTGCTCCCAAACCTGTTTCTCATGAGTGTCATTGATTTTGATTGTCACGCCTAGCTTGGCCCATCACCATCCCTGGCTCTCATGCAAACTAATGAGTACTACAGATTCATAGGGCTGGGCTCATATATCCCCTACAGAATCTCCCCCCACCTGGTTCTCTCATATGCAGGTTCAGGTTGATTTTACATCCCAGCTTTTTATGGCCCATCCACTGGCCCAACACTCACTGGTGGATACTGTGGCCTGTCCCTGCCAGGCAGGTCCCCCCCAGCTCTAGCTTCAGTGTGCACTGGTACATGACAGGTGATGCCACCTGTCCTAGCCCAGATCTCCCACATGGGTAGGTACACTGATCTGACCTATACATGTCCTCTGGTTTCCTCTCTCTAAACCACCTGGTCTCAACTTCCCTGGGACTCCCCAACTTCCTCCCACATATCTTCATATCTGAAAAAAAAAAAAAAGAATGGACAAGTATACTGGCATACTAGCATTAACCAGGCCCAGAATATTGGCTGCTAGCCATTGGCTGCTTGTCTCCCAGTAGTGTAACATTTATTTGCTAAAGTACAAGGCAACCTAGGCAGTTGCCTGCAGTTGGGGAGGCGATTACTTTTTAATGTAACATTTTAGGACTCCTTTTAGCTTACTTTGATTTTTGAAACAGAAAATGACATAAGTATGGAATTTTTTTGTATCTTTTGCAGCGGCTCTAATTAGAGGGAATCGTAAAAACTGTGCTCAGTTTTCTGGCTCCCTTGACTGGCTGATCAGCAGATTGGAGAGACTGGAAGCTTCTTCAGGTATGATTCCGAGTTTTCTTCTTGATTGTGTTTATTATTGCTGTTTTCAAAACTATAAAAGTTCTAAGTTCAGTGTAACATAAATCATTTCGTTTTAGTATGTCCACTATTTTTATCAAGTGATAAAATTGCTGATATTTTAAGTAGCTATGTCTGAGTAGCAATTTGAGGAATAAATCCTGTCCATTTTTTAAAAAAGCAAGTGATGTTGTGAAGTCCTGAAAGACTTTAGAGCCAGAATTCTTATTTTTTCTTTTTCAAATCTGTTACTTCTAATATACTGTACAATCAAAAGTTTGGCTTGGTATCATTTTATCCTTCTGTTAAACTGATATTTCAGTGGGTTTAGAAAATTCATTTTTGAATCATATGACACAATATTTTGTTACTAGGAACTTGATAAAAATAATAACTGATATGTATAAAAAGAATAATTACAATAGTTAGCTGGATCATATGTATCTCTGACAAATGCTAGTAGTATATGTAGGTTTTATTTTGGTGTCCCAGGCTATGATGAATTTGTCGGCAGAATTCACTGCCTCTGTGAAGCCCATTCTGAATCTATTGCCCCTCCATCTGTTTGCACAGTATTTCTTTAACTGCTGTCCTGTAGCGCTAATATTTTCTTAGTCCCCTATGGTGATAATATACTACATGAAGGTAGGTAAGTAATTGTGTTCATCTTTGCTATCTCTGGATTTGTACTCCCATTTGGTATCTAGTAGATATTTAACAGTGTTTGTTAAATCAATGAGTAAAATATTTAATTCACCTTTAAAAATACCATATACCATTCAAAATTAATTCCTTCCTTAATTTTTGCTTGATAAAAATGCACACACAGGGATAGGTATATGCAACTGAATAAGGAGAGACATGGTTATGGTTGGAGAAGGTCATTTTAAATCACTGAACAGACTTCTGGATTTCATATAAGAGAAGGAGAGAAATTGAGTCACGAAATACTGCCATATTGTTTTGATGACAAAATTAAGGCAGAAATAAAAAGTGCCAGATTATTGGGTGGCAAAGTTAAGAGATAGAATAAAACTGTATCAAATACACAACTTATGACATGAGAATATTAAAGACACAACAACATGAATGTATCATTCACTCATTGCAGAATTTATCAGATAAAGAAAGCATTGAATAACTTATACTAAGAAATGATTAAATTGGCAGTGACAGATTAGTGGTATGGGTTAAAAAGTGGATAAATTGCTGAATCAAAGTGATAAGAATCATGGCCATGGGCAAATTAAAGGTATAGTGCTGCATTTTCATGGCCCTTGTAAGTATCCAGGAAGAGGGAGATTCAGGGCTGCAATTGAGCCAATTATTTCAAAGAGAAACTATATATATATATATATATATATATATATATGTATATGTCAGTGAAAAATTCACAACAAAGTGGTCAAAAAAGAAAGAAAGAACAGCCAAGTACAGTCAAGTATTTGTGTATTGTTCACCAATAGGTAAATTATAGGTATAATTCCATTGTATGTAAATCATTATTTGTAATTTCCCTACCTTCTCAGCCCAATCAAGCCATGGATTTTGGGCAGTTCTACCTAAAACATTAGCCCTGTGCTGAGAGATGGCATCATGTTTAGTAACAGGAGCTATAAAAAAGGTTTAATCTAATATTCTCACTTCCAAGGAAAGGAAATTAAGGCACATAATATTTAAATGACTGATTTGAGATTCTACTATAACTTAGGGCTACTGCCAAGCTTCCTAGCATCAGGTTTAAAACATACTATAACTTGTAGTCTGTTGTTCTTGAAGTATCTACATTTTGCTAAGAATTTTCTTTACTGTAGTTATGTTTGTGAGGTTAATGAATTACTTTTTCCGAAGGGAAAGGAGAGAGTCGCTTAGTTTTTAGAGACAGACAGTACAGACTTGCACGGGCATATGTGTATAACTTATGTCAGTGCTGTATTATTTACTGAGTACATACATATTCATCATTTGATTTTCTCTCCATAATAATTGGGTATTGCTGAACACAAACTCTTGAGTTTGTCAGTTTGTGAGCTGCAGATTCAAACTAGAAAATCCTTGAATGGAACAGGGAAGAGTGGGGCTAGTTTAGCTTGTTGGAACTAGAACCTGCTAATCTTTGTTACCTTGGCCGGTCTCCAGTACCTTCAGGTAGGTAGAGGTATAGTGTGTGTGTGTTTATTTATTTATCTTTCCCTCCT